CGCTGCCATCTCCACTGCTCCGCGCATCATCGAACCTAAGAACCCACGGCAAGCTCTCACAGGCCCACACAGCAAGGAGTGGCGCGAAGCAATGGATGCGGAAATCCGGGCACTCGAGTCGCGCGACACCTGGGTGCTCGTCGACCGTGCAGCAGTATAGGGGAGAAGGATTCTCTCCGGCAAATGGGTCTTCCAAGTGAAGACAGGAGCCGACGGAAGGATTGAGCGATTCAAGGCACGCTGGGTGGTGCGCGGCTACGATCAAAGGCACGGGATTGATTTTGACCAGACATTTGCACCGGACAGCCGTCACACGTCCGTCAGAATTCTCCTCACCATCGCAGCCGCACGACACCTACCTCTCCGGCAGATCGATGTGAAGAATGCGTTCCTGTACGCATAAGTGGACGCCGTGATCTACGTAGAATAGCCACACACTTACGGCGACGGAGACCCACGCGTCTGTCAGCTACGCAAGTCCCTCTATGGGATCAAACAGGCACCGAGACTCTGGCAGCAGTATCTGCACAACATACTGCTTGAAATCGGGTTCAAGCAGCTGCCTCACGATCCTGGAATGTATCGCCGCGATTTCCGCGGCGAATACATCCTCCTCACGGTCTACGTCGACGACCTTCTCTACACAGGCTCAAGCAACGAACTGCTCGAGCAGTTTGAGAGAAGCCTCGCAGGGCGCGTCGACATCACCTGCAATCATGACGTGAAGCAGTTTCTCAGACTCAACATCACCTACTCGTCGGAAGCCATTCATCTCTCAGCAGCGAAGTATGCGGAGGAGCTTAGCAAGCGCTTCAACATTGCGCCTGCACCACTCTCCACCCCTTACCGCACTCCAGGACCCAACCACAAGCCTGACAACAAAGCCCTGTCCCCTGCTGGGCTTCACACTTACCAGCAGCAGTTGGGATGCCTGCTTTTCGCATCTGTTACCTGCAGGCCCGACCTCTCCTACATTGCGAGCCAGTTGGCTCAGTACTCACGCAAACCAACGGCTGAGAATCTCTCACATCTTCAGCGAGCCCTTCAATTCTTCATCTCCACGCCCAATGTCGGTCTCAGTTATTCCACCATCCCAACCACATCCTTCAGCCTCGTCGGCTACCTGGATGCCGATCACGCCGCTGACCCTGACAATCGACGGTCCAAGACAGGGTTCCTCTTCCGCCTCGAGCCCAGCGGCCCCATCTCCTGGAACTCTCAGAAGCAGGAGTTGGTTGCCCTGTCATCGGCGGAAGCTGAATTTATCGCAGCAACAGCAGCTGTTCGCGAAGGTCTCTACCTTCAGGAACTGTTGCAGGAAGCAAAAATTCAAGCCTCAACGAACTTTCGCCTGCACTGCGACAATCAGAGCGCGATCAGGATCGCGAACAAACCTGGTTTCGTCAACCGCACCAAGCACATCGCACTGCGGTACTTCTTCGTCAAGGACGAAGTTGACAAAGGCAAAGTTGACCTGACATACTGCCCAACGGGTGACATGGCAGCAGACTTCCTCACGAAGAGACTGCCGCGTCAGCAGTACCAGCACTGCTCCGAACTCAGCGGGGTAGTCAATCGGGTCAATGCTCGCTACGGCCAGGAGTGAAGGGGGGTGTTACGAATAGTAATACTTGAATATTAATGTGCACTCCTCACCGTAGCAAAGCCGAAGCACGCACTATCGAGAGTGAAGACGAAAAGGCAGAAGAAAGGCGAAAGGACAGACGGTTACGAGGAGCATCTGAACCGTCGGGCAGACAGCATCAGGCAGCAGCAGTGGCGAAGATTCTGCCCGAACAGTTACGTAACCACTCGGAGTCGCACGGTTGGATTTCGCTGCAATAAGGGAATGTACCCCTTAGAGTATATGGCTAGTTAGGTCGTTTCGAATTCCCCTGTACTCATATTTATATTCCCTGTACTGCATGTTTTTATTATCTCAAGCATTTACATTCACTCTGCTATTGAGGTCAAGGGCCCACCAACATCACTTCTCTGCGTGCGAACCTTCTTGAGTAGATCCTAGGCCACGATCAACTTCTGATCGCAACATATATGACATCTACAATACATTATGGTTACTGTAGGATCATGAAACCCTCTAGTAAACGCAAAGATGAAACAAGCATTCATATGCTGTGCATATAATTCACCATAAATCCCATATCATTTTCTTGAAACAATCAAACATTCTTTCATGGCTAAGATTATGTAGTCCAACATTGAGAATTTCATACCAGCCAAACTGCATTGAACTACACTCACACTCCAGCTCTAGTGTACACTGTAGTGTGTAGACGACCTGAACCTCGTGGCTGGTGCGTTTTGCGAAACCCGGCTGAACTGTTCATTTTACTGTACCAGTGTAAGGGAGCGGCGGCGAGGTGGGGTAGCGAGCGAAGCGACTCCAGCCAGCGAAGTGGCTCTCTCTCTCTCCCTCTCTCGACTCTATGAACACATCATGGTCTCCATTTCCAGTTGAACCAGATAGAACCATTGAGGGAACAGGAGTTGGGTTCTACCCCGAGGAGGCACAGCTCTCTGTCCTAGTGCCTCTCCTTTCCGACTCTGCATTCTTCGCTTCGAGCGAATAGCGAGGCTTTGTCAGGCCCGTTTCGCAAATCAGGGGCGAAGCAGGTCACAACCCGCGCCGCCAGCCGACAATGGCGCACGAGACGTCGCCGCGGCGATCTCTACACACGTCGTCGCTCGCTGTCGCATGTGCGATGGTTCTACTATGCGCGGCCGTGACCCAATCGCGCGCCGCACCGACTGTCGCACAGATTAAGGCGGAGCTGAAGCAATGTCGCGCAGCCGTGCAGAGACTTCCCCAGTACAAGGCGTCCCTCCAATTGATCGACGAAATGCGTGAGTGTGCTGTGCTACTATCCATTAGTATCAACGACTGCGACGCCTTCTGAGGCGCCTCAAAAGTCCCCGTTAATTTCAGCGACTGTGACGTCTCGATGTCACAATGTGATGCTAAATTCGTCTGAAATAGGCGGTCCGACGACAAGGCGATTCCATCTGCATTTTTTGAGTGGCTGCTCCGTGGAGCAGGATTCGGCCAGCCACCGGCCGGAGTTGGTTCATTCTGTGTGCTTTATGGCTTCCCTCCGTCCTCTCTGTCAGCATCCCCCATTCATTCTGTTTGTTCTTTTCAACATTTCGTGGTTCCGTCCATTCTTATTCCCTCCTTTCTTCTCTAATAATCACTGAAGTTACTAAGTCAACATAACTCGCCTCCCTCGTGGCTTTCTCTTAGCAGAGAGGCGAGGCTTTGTTCTAACCCATTAGCCACTCAATTCATAAGCAGCTTCTGTGCACGAACCCACCACTGTCTACCTCTCTCCACCCCGCCCTTTCACAAAGCTCCCCATCCGGGACATACACAACACCTTTCTTTCCCTCGCCTCATTTCCCCCTCTTAAAACCCCCTCCCCTCCCCCCCCCCCCCCCTCCCTCTTCTCCCGCCCCCACTCCCCCATATCCGCCCCTTTCTCTCCTCTTCAACAACCCTCGCACCCCCTTCTCTCCCTTACCCCGCCACACACACACAGTAAAGAGTTCTCGTGCCGACTTACTCTCAATCGCCAACACCACTCTCCTGATCCCCACCACCAAGGGCCTCTACGCCCTCGGATCCAGAACCCTCTACAACGTGACTGCCATGTATTACATTAGCGGGTACAACGTGCTCACCAAGCGTTACACTCATCCACAGCTATCAGCAGCAGTTACCGGGGCAAAGCTCAACTCCATGCTGCCAGGCGTGCCAGTCCAGGTGTATCCGAAGATTCAAGGGAGAGTTGTGCTGGGGAAAGTGGGGGGAGCATTGAAGGCGAGGGCGGCTGTTCTCATGCCGGATTTGTGTAAAGGAGTGTTTTTGAAGGGGCATGGAACGTCATTATATATCAAGCCACCTGGATTTTAATGAGGGAGAATCATGGTGAACTGACAGCTCGTGTGGTGATGTGGGAGCTGTGGCTGTGGCGGTGGTTGTAATGTCAATGTTCCTTACGTTGCTACTACCTTCTCTCTCCACACTATTTTCTTCGCATTGCTAGATCCCCCAACCAAGAGTGAGACCAATTTATCCAGATATCACATCTCATCACTAATGCACAATTGCAATTGCAACTCAGATGGAAACTGAAACTCTGTTATTGCTGTCCAGTGTACACTGAAACTCCAGTTGAGGAGGGACGAACATCACCACAAACGAGGGTTTTTATCGTGCCGAACCAGATCAAAGACCAAGGCTATCTGCAGCGCCGCCATTTTTCAGACCGAGCACAGCAGCTCAACCGACAATCCTCAGCTGGTTGGTTGGGCACAGGCGAAACCTTATCTCGTAGGCTGTAAACACGTTTTGGCGAAAGTACAGTAACTAGGGACAGCCGTTTTCATGGCGCCGCCGCACGCATCTCGCCGACAAACCAAGGCAGCCCAATGGCGCGCGGTCCGACCGAAAACCACCACACAACCAGCCTGGTCCGGGAAGGCTTGGTCTTGATTCGCCTCGGTCGGATGAGATATTTACAAGTTTCCAGGGCGAATATCCCAGGCTTCCGAAAGTGGTACACAGAAAATGTTTCCAGGCTCCACAACAATTTCTGTAAGCAGGTGGTCCCGTCCCTCCCTGCTACCCACAAGAGGGTTCGTCAAATTACTGAGTAGAAAACTAGCAACCCGTTCACTCCAAGCCGCATCCCTGTGGTCCCTCTCCGTAAATTATCAACTCTTTTCTTTCCTCTCTCGCACACCACGCTCCCTATAGGGACCCACTCCAGGTTTCATTTCTTCCCACATCCCTTAGCGCTCAAGATCTTGGTTTCTGCTAGGACGTTCAAGCCTGATAGCTTCAATCGATTAGACCCACTTCGACGTACAGTCACCACTCGCCAGTTTGGCTTTGGTCGAGAGAATTCTTATTTCTTAGCCAGAGTGGTAATCAAGCAGGCAGAAGCGGGCCCCATATCCATTCCCTCCAGTCACCAATGGCGCACACGCGACCCCTATCAGCGTTGTCGCTTGCCGTCGCATGCGCGATGCTTCTCTGTGTCGCCGTCACCCAGTCGCGCGCCTCACCGACTATCCCACAGATAAAGGCGGAGCTGAAGAAATGCCGCGCGGCCATGGCGAAACTGTCCGACTACAAGGCGTACCTCCAAGGAATCGACGAGATGCGTGAGTGTGCTAGAAACGTGTGCTCTAGTCTAGCTCCTTGTCGATGCGACGCAACTGCAAGAAAATCCGAGAACGCGCATGGCGTGAGTACCCGTTCGCACAGGAGGCACCGGAACCATGCGCGGGACATCGTGGCGTTAAGTGCGGCATCCTCTGCATCAGAGACGGTATGCGGGAATCGCGGCGGACGGAATCCATGCTCTACGGCACGGCGAGGTAGTAAGGATTGATAGAAGCAACCACACGAAAAGCAACCACACCGGCAGTCACACCGCGTAAAACGAGTGTGCATTGCGTGAACCATCACTTGGACCTTTAGCTTCCCACACCGCGAAGGTCCGTGGACAGAACTGTATTAGAGTCACTTCCCATCGCGAAGCTCCGAGCCCAGAAAAGAAAGCCGTGAAGGTTATATGCGACTTGCTAAATTTCTCTAAGGCTATTCCCAGAGCCCGGGCGTTATTGTATATATTTCTTGCCTTGTCGTTGGCTCTGGCATAGAAAATGATTCCAAGCCAAGCTCACGCCTTTGGTCCAGCAAATTTCGCTGCGCGGAGTTATCATCGAGGAATCTGCCTCTCGCCGCAATTTGCGCTGCGTACCTATTACTTGTGATGCGACGCATCGCTCCACGTCCCCCTGACATTCCTCGCTCGCCATTCCTCTCCGCATGTGCTTCGGTTTCGCCGCGTTTGCCCTGGTAGTCTCCTATTCGCTCCCTTTAAACGTGACGAATGGCTCCCTTTGAACGTCTCTCCTCCCTCCCAGCATACTCGACACATGGAGGCATTTACGCGGGCTGTAGCATTTGCATCCCTAAGCCCACACGCGACTTTAGTCCACCCATCAGCAGCTGCTCTCCATGCAACACTCGTGTCGTTTCGCCGTTTTTCAACACTTTTATTGTCCAACATCCGACCTTTGAAGCGTGTGCAATAGCCCTGTGGTCTCTCACTCCATCACCCCCTTCCTCAGAAGCCTCTCCCAACGCTCCCTTTCCTCATCACCCCCTCCTCCCCCCTTTTCTCCCCCCATCTCTTCTCCCGTTCCCTCCACTTTTTTCCCCCGTTTCTTCCTCCAACACCCTCACTCGCAGTGAAGCGTTCTCCCGCGGACATGAAGGGATTATTCAACACCACTCTCCTAATTCCCACCAACAAGGGCCTCTACGCCCTGGGACTCAGAACCCTCACCAACATGACTGCCATGACCGTCATTGGCCAGTATAACGTGCTGACTAAGCGTTACACTTCTGCACAGCTGGCAAAGCTAGCTCCCGGGGCCAAGATTCGGAGCGTGCTGCGAGGCGTGCCGATCCAGGTGTTTCCGAAGCTCAAAGGGAGTGTTACGCTGGGAAAAGTAGGAGCAGGACCGAAAGCGCGGGCAACGATGGTCACACCAAACCTTTGCAACGGAGTGTTTTTGAAGGGCCATGGCATGAATCTATATCTCAAGCCCCCTGGATATTAGCAAGGATAAGAGGGAAGTGGTGGATGTTGGTGATGGCAGGCGGTGTGATGTAGAGGTTGATGTGAGTAGAATTGTTGACTGGAAAGGATGTAGTGGTGATTTTTATGAGCTATGATCTCCATAACAGCTATAAGCAATCATCCAGAGTGTGTGCTACACCTCATACCCCTCACAAGAATGTGCACACACGCTACCCCCTGACGTGACATGACACGTGTCTCGGATGCCACGCAATGGTACACCTTGGCATAATCAGTTCGGTGCAACACAAAATCCCAGGGTTTTGAGTTGATCACGCACACTTACTGAAACTATTCGCCAAAAGCGTAGCACTGTAGCTTCTGGCGCAGCTTTTTTGCCAGTTCTTCGCTCATAGCGCAGAATTAGCTCCTTTCAACGCAGTTCATTCATCATTGGCCAAAATATCGACGGACCGACAACTCCGCCTAAATTAACGGCCAGCGAACCGTCTACAACTGCTTTCGGGCAGACATAAATATAAACCCCTCTCGGATGGAATGCTGTTTAGGGAGGCATCAACCCTAAACACAATGCGGAAGTGTTTAGGGTTGATGCCCTAAACAATCGGTTTAATTGTTCGCAATATGTCTTTTTTTTTTTATGGCAAGCACCGAGGAAGTCATCAACCCTAAACACCATATATTGGGTGTTTATGGTTGATGCCCTTTCTGCATGGGTTATTTTATTTCGAGAAGGTAAAAAAACCAGAATGAAGAGTTACTGTTCTCACTAATAGTAAAACCAATTGGCCTCTAGCTTTCTGACAGGTGGTCCAATGACCATCGAAATGCGTTGAAAGGAGCTAATTCTGCGCTATGAGCGAAGAACTGGCAGAAACCCTGCGCCATAAGCTACAGTGCTGCGCTTTTGGCGCATAGTTTCAGTAAGTGTGCGTGATCAACTCAAAACCCCAAAATCCCATCCCATTTACTTCCATCCCATCCCATTTCCATAACCTGCTTGCGTGATCTCCAAGCAATGTGGATTCCGCTCTCCAAACAAATCGCCCCGATCGATGGATTGGATTGATCAGATTGGCCCTGTTCTACAGGCAAGTGCTTTATTCATATCAGTCAGCGTGGACGAGCAGAGAGAGATTATCACAGATTCGAGCTCCGTATAGCCTCGACAGGTTAGACTTTGCCTCGCACTGACTACTGCAGAGAGAAGGCGTTAGCGACGAGGCACATCGCTTCGCTTTCTCAGCCGTAGACGGCGCTTGTGAGGAAGGACACAACGGGAACCTGCTCTTTGTGTCCCTTTCAAAGTCCCTGTCTGGGCTGCCTGTGTACAGAGGCTACATTCTCATCGCTCTGCCATTCCCTTTAGCTCGCAATCACATTCTCTCGCGGTCACATTAGGTTGCGGTGACATTCGGTTGCGGTTCTGTCGTTCTACCCGCATCTGGCGCTTACCATGGCTGCCGCTTCTGCATGCGCCATCATTCCTCTTTCCTCTTTTCCCGCTGTGAAATGCGCTCCATTACGTCGCGATAGCAGGGTGCTTGGTGGATCGTTAAGCCACAGCGCCTCGGACTTAAAGCCACACAGACTCCACACGCCGCGGCTCGTCGGCAGTCGCGTCGCATCTTCAGGCCGCGTCGTCACAGCAGCCGGTGGTGGCGGCTCGAGCGACAGGAAGAACGCTGACGTCAACAAGGTGGCGGTGCTCCGGGAGCTGCTGACGTCACCAGGGATTAAATGCGCGCCGGCGTGCCACGATGGACTGAGCGCGCGACTGACGGAAGCGGCCGGTTTCAAGCTGGCGTTCATGAGCGGTGCGAAACGAGGGGTGTCGTGTCGTGGGGGTGATGAGGGATGAGGGATGAAGGGGTGGGAGACGGGAGATTGGGAATACAGGGGTGGGAGAGGAGCGATGGCAGATGGGGATGATGCGGTGGGTGGGGGTGGGAAGGTGGGCCGTGAAGGGTGGTATCACATTGTGACCGCCGTGTTGCAACGTCGTCGTCGTCGTCGTCGTCGTCGTCGTCGTCGTCGTCGTCCTCCTCCTCCTCCTCCTCCTCCTCCTCCTCCTCCTCCTCCTCCTCCTCCTCCTCCTCCTCCTCCTCCTCCTTCTCCTCCTCCTCCTCCTCCTCCTCCTCTTCCTCCTCCTCCTCCTCCTCCTCCTCCTCCTCCTCCTCCTCCTCCTCCTCCTCCTCCTCCTCCTCCTCCTCCTCTTCCTCCTCCTCCTCCTCTTCCTCCTCCTCCTCCTCCTCCTCCTCCTCCTCCTCCTCCTCCTCCTCCTCCTCCTCCTCCTCCTCCTCCTCCTCCTCCTCCTCCTCCTCCTTCTCCTCCTCCTCCTCCTCCTCCTCCTCTTCCTCCTCCTCCTCCTCCTCCTCCTCCTCCTCCTCCTCCTCCTCCTCCTCCTCCTCTTCCTCCTCCTCCTCCTCTTCCTCCTCCTCCTCCTCCTCCTCCTCCTCCTCCTCCTCCTCCTCCTCCTCCTCCTCCTCCTCCTCCTCCTCCTCCTCCTTCTCCTCCTCCTCCTCCTCCTCCTCCTCTTCCTCCTCCTCCTCCTCCTCCTCCTCCTCCTCCTCCTCCTCCTCCTCCTCCTCCTCCTCCTCCTCCTCCTCCTCCTCCTCCTCCTCCTCCTCCTCCTCCCTTTCGTCTTCCCACCCCACCCTATTTGACCCCGCCCCATCCCGTCACCTACCCTTCCTCTCCAGGCTTCGCCGTGTTGGCCACACGAGCGGGTCTGCCAGACGCGGGGCTGCTCTCATACGGCGAGATGGTGGAGACGGGGAGGCTCATCGCGTCCGCTGCCATGCCAGGCTGCCTGCACATCCCAACTTCTGTCCCCACCCGCTGTACCACACCCCACCGCACCCCACCGCACTCCACCGCACTCCACTCCCCATTTCTTCCAGGATTTGCCGTCTCGGCCACAAGAGCTGGGCTCCCAGACACGGGGCTGCTCTCGTACGGCGAGATGGTGGAGGCGGGGAGGCTCATCGCGTCTGCTGCTCCGGGCATCCCGGTGATAGGCGATGGCGACACGGGGTACGGCAACGCTGTCAACGTGCGACGCACCGTGCGCGGATACAGGCAGGCTGGCATGGCGGGGATTATCATCGAAGACCAGGTGAGGAGAGGGGGGGGTGGGGGTGGGGGAGAGTGGGGCCCAGGGGGAAAGGATTTTGGAACAAGTAAGGCAAGGCGAGTGAACCTGCCCGCACAGGAAGACTATTTTGAAGCGCCTCAAAACTTGGAAGGATTCTGGAAGAACTAAGACAAGGCGAGTGAACGTGCAAGGGAAGAGGCAAGCTGGCATGGCACGGGAAGGATCTGGCAGGCTGGATTATTGTTGAGGCCCAGGTGAGGTGCCGAGGAGGGGGGAGATGAGAAGGAGGAGGAGGGTGGAAACAGGAAGGGATCAGATGAGAAGGGGCAGGGTAGGGGGGGGAGGGGGGTGGGGTGAGGGGGGGGGGGGAGTGGAAGAGGGGGAGGGGAGATTGTTCACAACGACCCACATGCACGTGAATGCGCTAAGGCAAGTCCATGCCTTGACAAATGCTCTCTTGTGCACTGTTATGCTCTCTTACACTTCCTTACACTCTCGTACACTCCCTTCCGCCTCTGTCTGTGCTCACTCTAATTCTCCCTTGTACGCTCTTATGTGTGTGTCAGGCATGGCCCAAGGCGTGTGGGCACACAGCAGGGCGCAGGGTGGTGGGGAGTCCCTGTCCCCGTGCTTCCCTCTCTGTCTCTCCTCACCCTACTGTTCCCTCACGCCCCCTCATGTGTTATGTGTGTGTCAGGCATGGCCCAAGGCGTGTGGGCACACAGCAGGGCGCAGGGTGGTGGGGGGTCCCTGTCCCCGTGCTTCCCTCTATGTCTCTCCTCACCCTACTGTTCCCTCACGCCCCCTCATGTGTTATGTGTGTGTGTGTGTCAGGCATGGCCCAAGGCGTGTGGGCACACAGCAGGGCGCAGGGTGGTGGGGCGGGACGAGGCAGTGATGCGAATCCGAGCAGCAGCGGACGAGCGCGATGAGGGGCAGGGAGACATCGTCATCGTTGCACGGTGAGGGCCTTATTAGGGGAGACCTTTGAGATGAGTTGACTCAAAGGTCACCTCTGAGCAGCTGAGCGGACGAGCGCGATGAGGGGCAGGGAGACATCGTCATCGTTGCACGGTGAGGGCCTTATTAGGGGAGACCTTTGAGATGAGTTGACTCAAAGGTCACCTCTGAGCAGCTGAGCGGACGAGCGCGATGAGGGGCAGGGAGACATCGTCATCGTTGCACGGTGAGGGCCTTATTAGGGGAGACCTTTGAGATGAGTTGACTCAAAGGTCACCTCTGAGCAGCTGAGCGGACGAGCGCGATGAGGGGCAGGGAGACATCGTCATCGTTGCACGGTGAGGGCCTTATTAGGGGAGACCTTTGAGATGAGTTGACTCAAAGGTCACCTCTGAGCAGCTGAGCGGATGAGCGCGATGAGGGGCAGGGAGACATCGTCATCGTTGCACGGTGAGGGCCTTATTAGGGGAGACCTTTGAGATGAGTTGACTCAAAGGTCACCTCTGAGCAGCTGAGCGGACGAGCGCGATGAGGGGCAGGGAGACATCGTCATCGTTGCACGGTGAGGGCCTTATTAGGGGAGACCTTTGAGATGAGTTGACTCAAAGGTCACCTCTGAGCAGCTGAGCGGACGAGCGCGATGAGGGGCAGGGAGACATCGTCATCGTTGCACGGTGAGGGCCTTATTAAGGGAGACCTTTGAGATGAGTTGACTCAAAGGTCACCTCTGAGCAGCTGAGCGGACGAGCGCGACGAGGGGCAGGGAGACATCGTCATCGTTGCACGGTGAGGGTTGGTTTGTAGAGGGGGCATTTGTTGCTGCCCAGGGAGCTTGTTTCAAAAGCGTGAGCAAGCAGCAGCGGAGCGGACAGGTGGGACGAGGGGCAGGGAGACATTGCCATTGTCGCACGGTGAGCGGTCGTCAGTCTACCCAGTGCTTACCTCTGGCTTGGCTGATCCCTGCTCGCTCTTTTCAGGCCAGTGACTAGATAAGAGGGGCAAGGAGACATGGTCATTGTCGCACAGTGGGCGTTTGTTTGTAGAGGGTTTTGTTGCTTCTTAGAGGGCGTGTTTCAAAGGCCTGAGCAGCAGCAGCGGACGAGCGCGACGAGGGGCAGGGAGACATTGCCACTGTCGCACGGTGAGCAGTCGTCAGTCTACCTACCTCTCAGGGGGGCGTGAGGCGCGCACACACAGTGATGCGCTCACACACGGTGATGCACTCACCATCCTCCCCCTACTAGGTCGGATGCGTGTCAGGCTGTGTCACTGGACGAGGCGCTGTGGCGGGCAGCAGCGTTTGCCGCAAAAGCCCATTCCTCTCCTCTTTTCCTGGCGCCCTCCCCCCACCACCCCCTCTCCCAGGTCCGATGCGTGTCAGGCCGTGTCACTGGATGACGCGCTGTGGCGGGCAGCAGCGTTGCTGCAGAAGTGCATTCCTCTCCTCTATTCCTAACGCCCTTCCCTCGCCCCCCCCCCACCCCCACACCAGGTCGGATGCGTGTCAGGCTGTGTCACTGGACGAGGCGCTGTGGCGGGCAGCAGCATTTGCCGACGCGGGGGCGGACATGGTGTTTATCGACGCGCTGGGGTCGGAGGAGGATATGCGCGCATTCGTGCGCGCCGTGCCAAACACCCCCAAGCTGGTATGTGACTGCACTGCTCTATGCACCAGCCCGTGAGCGTGGGAGGGCGCGGGGGCGGACAGGGTGTTCATTGATGCGCTCGGGTCGGAGGAGGATATGAGCTCAAAAATAGCGCATCAAAAGTAGCTGGAGGACATGGGGCTCTGCCATCGCTGTCTACCCTCTCAAGATCTTCCCGCCTCCCCTCAGTGAGGTGTATTTTGAGGCGCCTCAAAATACTCCCCTCATCTCCTCGTTTCTCCCCCCTTTCCTCTCTTTCCTTCCTTCCCTGCACCGCGGCATTTGAGTCATTTCACAAACTCCCCTCTGCACTTTCCCCCCTCCTCTTCCCTCGTTGCCCCTCCTTCCGCCTCCTTCCCCCGCCTCCCACTCCTCCCTGACAATATCCGCAGATCAATCAGTTGGAGGGCGGGGGTAGAACGAGGATCAATATCCTCTCGCCACAGCAGCTTGAGGACGTGGGCTTTGCTATTGCCGTCTACCCTCTCAAGATCTTCCCGCCTCCCCCCCTCTCTTTCCTCGCCTGCTGCCTTCTCCCCCCTTCCCTCTCCTTCCTTCCCAGCTCCTTTAGAGTCGTTTCACAAGCTCTCTTTCTCCACTGTTGCTCTCCCTCCCCTCCCCTCCCCTCCCCTCGCCTCTCCTCCCCTCTCCTCGCCCCACTCCCCACTCCTCCCGGGCAATAATGAACGCAGATCAATCAGTTGGAGGGCGGTGGTCGAACGCCCATCCTCTCACCTCAGCAGCTGGAGGACATGGGCTTTGCCATTGCCGTCTATCCTCTCTCCCTCGTGGGCGTCTGCACTCGGGCCATGCAGGTATGCTGTTTCTCACAAGGAGCCCTGCTGGTATGCTCTTTCACGAAACAAATTCATGCATGCAAGTGTGCTCTTTCACAAGAATACATATCCTAGGTGTCCCATTATTATCACCCACCGGTAAGCCTCTCGCCACAGGCCATACCCACATGCCCTCTTTCTTTTCTCTCTCTCATTTAACCCGCTCCACCTGGCACCTGTGCCATCGGGTTATCTGCCCTTTGTTGCCTCGCCCGCACAATCTTTCCCTCTTCATCTCATCCCCACCCCACCCTGCCCTAACTGGCACTCGCACTCTCAGGACGCGTTGTCAGCATTGGCCTCCGGTCGACTACCCCGCCCTTCTCTCCTCCCTCCCTTTGAAGAACTCAAGGAGGCTGTTGGTTTCCCGGAGTACCTTGCTCTTGAGGAGCGGTACAAAACGGTGGAGGACGATGATGGGAGTAGCTGGAGCAGTGGGAGAAGCAGGAGGAGGAGCGATAGTGATGATGCGGATGCTGCTGCGGCTGCTGCTGCGTCGGCGCGAGTGGCGGCAGAAGCACAAGCAGAGGAGGCAGCAGCAGCAGCCCGAGCAGCAGCGGCAGATGCAGCAGCAGCTGCTGCTTCAGCTGCAGCTGGTGCAAACTGGCAGCAGCAGCAGCAGCAGCAGCAGCAACAGCAATACCAGTCGCAGCAGCAACAATCCCAATCCCAACAGCAGCAGCAGCAGCAGCAGCAGCAGTGGGATGTGGTAGAGCCTGTGGTTATAGAACCCGATGAAACGCCAGGAACAGGAGGAGAAGGTTGGAAGAACCTCGAGAGGACCCGCAGCAGCAGCGGCGGCGGCGGCGGCGGTGGTGGGTGGGGAAACTGGACGCGCGTGCTGCGAGTGCAAGTGCTCGGCCAGAACAACATAACTAAGCTCGACTTCCGCGTACCGGTCAGTGCTTTGCTTGGTATGCTTCTCGTTTCAGCTAGCCAGGCCACTTTTTAGCGGGCTCGAAGGTAACTGGACACGGGTGTTGCAAGTGCAAGTGCTAGGCCAGAACAACATCACCAAGTTCGACTTCCGCGTGCCGGTCAGTGCAGTGCTTGGTTCTTTTCTCATCTCAGCTAGCCAGGTAACTTTTGAGTGGACTCAAAATTGACTGGAGGTGCTGAGAGTGCAAGTGCTAGGCCCCGACAGCAAAACTAAGCTTGACTTTCGTGTTCCGGTCAATGTGCGGTTTGCTTCTCCTCTCAGCAAACCAGTTTCAGTAGGAGACTTTTGAGGCGCCTCAAAATTCAAACCAATCTCAGGAGGACCCCACGCCCTCCTACGCTCAGATCTATCCGCATGTGCACACCTCTTCACCTGCTGTCATGTGAAAGTATACAACAGAGTATCGAAACGTCTCGAGACTCATTTTCCACCTCTACTTTGCTCTTCCGCCCACAAGCAACTGTCCAACTAGTCTTGTATATGCACACCCATTCTCCTCTCATATGACATTGGTCTCATCTCATTTTCGATCTGTTTTTTTCCTCTCTCCCCTCGTCCTCTCTCTAACTTCCCCCCCTCCCCACCTTCCATTCATTGTACCCTTCCAACACCCACCAGGCTGGCTTTCTAGGAAGTCTTGCCAACACCATTCCAGGTTAGTCCCAAGGCTCATAATGTCCCTCCTGCTGCTCCTCCTGCTGCTCCTCCTGCTGCTCCCCTCGCTGCCCCTGCTGCCTCCTGCTGCCTCCTGCTGTCTCGTGCTGACTAGAGCTGGCTGTTCGTTCTGTCATTTAGTGTGCGCCGTGTTGGCTTGGCATGGCATGGAGGGTAGGAAAATTCGTTAGCCTGACAACTTTTGAGGCGCCTCAAAAGTCGGCGTGTTGGCATGGCATGGCATGGCATGGAGGGTAGGAGGATTTGTTAAACAAACCCTAAACCCTGTTAACCTGAGAGGACCGGCCTGCTACGAAGCGCAGCTGCAGCAGGTGCTTTATTCTGTCAGCACCCCACTCTTCTGGTCCTCCTTCCTCTCTCCCCAATCTCTCCCTCCCTACCCTTTCATCGTTCGATCTAAAACCCATCATCTGTGGCGGGTATTGATTTGGCAATTACTTCAGCACAGCTGATGGAGCGAGCAGCGGCAGCAGCAGCAGCAGCAATAAAGTCTTCCATTCAACCCCCTCCCCTCCCCCCCACCACCACCTGCTTCCATTGTGCTGCACTCATTCCCCCACCGCACAGCCGTGGCGGGCATTGATCTGGCAGGACTGGTGGAGCGAGCAGCAGCGCGGGCGCAGTCAGAGGGGGGAGGCAGGGGGGATGACGAGGTGGTGGTGGTGGATTTCAAAGACAAGACCACGGGCGACCGCGTGCGCATCCTGCTTGAATGAGTCCAGCGTGGTGCGGGGCTGTTGGGATAGGTGTAGGGACTGCAGGTGGGTGGGTGAATGACAATCCGGTGGGGGAGGCGGAGGGGATGACGAGGTGGTGGTGGTGGATTTCAAAGACAAAATCACGGGCGACCGCGTGCGCATCCTGCTGGAGTGATCCTAGCATGATGCAGAGCGGTTGGGATAGGTTGGGGGGGAAGTGTAGGGAATGCGGGACTGTAGTAGGTGGGTGGGTGAGTGAGTCGTTGACAAGATGGTAGGGGGAGGTGGAGGGGGTGATGAGGTGGTGGTGGATTTGAAGGACAAGACCACGGGCGACCGCGTTCGTATTCTGCTTAAGTGATGCATAGCGGTTGGAATGGGTCGGGATGCGTTTGGATGGGTTGGGTTGGTTTGGATAGGTTGGGATGGGTTTGGCAGGAACTGCAGGGAACGCAGGGATGGACGAGGGGGGGGTGACGAAGTGGTGGTGGTAGATATTAGAGACATGAGGCCAGGCGGCCAGTGTGGGTTGCTTGTCGTAATTGTGAATTGTGAATAAGGTTGGTTGTAACACCCTCTTTCTCACTAGACTGGCATGGTAGAATGAACAACACGGTTTGTAGAAACACAACGCACCCAGGAAGGTGCTATCACATGCGCTATAGTGACATACCGTAGGTACCGAATGATCCAAGGCGGTTAGTTCAGAAGTTACACACTTTAGACTGGTATCTTTTGCGCCAAAGCTGTGGGGAAGGGTATTCTCTTAGAAACTATAGAAGAAAAGGTTGATGCATTAGGTCAAAGTTGGGGTACAAGACTAGGGTGTCGAGAAGTTTCCTATACCCCCTAAGGCTAGCCCCAATATAGCCTAGATAATAACATGCATATATTTTGACACACCCCCATAGGCGAAATGGGGGATAGCCAGAGCAAGCAATGGTCACAAGACCAGTCAAGAGAAGAAACAAAACACAGCTCAGGGTGGATCACAACGTCACCACACACACTGAGCACAAGCAAACGGCCACAAGGCCAGTCCACAGGCAGAGGTATTTAAGAAACAAAAACAGTACAGTGATCTCTGTCAGAATGTTATTATCTAGCCTGTAGTGCGGTGCTCTATAGCGAGTACAACCCTGTTAGGGTTTGCTATATGTATCCCAACTGCTTCTAGTGAAACCCCTCCTTTCTTCATTTCTCTCTTGCCTAGCTAGCTAAACCCTAGCTATGGCTCCTCACTCTGCTTACTATCGTAACATGCTATCAGAGCATCTATGCTCCTGGCCTGTGGGCCCACCCAACTGCTTCTGCTGCTACTCTGTCTGTTGCACGCCCCGTGGCGTGCGACTCCTTCTTCCTGCCGCGCGCTCTGCGCGCGGCGATTTTTTTTTCGGGTTTTCTGACCGCCGTGCGCTCGGGGCGCGCGGCGGTTTTCTGCCCGCCGTGCGCCCCGAGGCGCGCGGCGGTTTCCTACCTTGGGGACCCGCGCGCGGCCCCTGCCCTGCTCGTCGCGGCGCCCTGGGGAGCACGCGCGGCCCCCGCCCTTCACGTCGCGGCGCCCTGGGGAGCAGCACGCGGCCCCTCGCTGCCCCGTGGTGGCGCCCTGGGGGCCGCGCGCCACCCCTGGAGCCGCGCGCGGCCCCTCGCTGCCCCGTGGTGGCGCCCTGGGGAGCACGCGCGGCCCCCGCCCTTCACGTCGCGGCGCCCTGGGGAGTCGCGCGCGGCCCCTCGCTGCCCCGTGGTGGCGCCCTGGGGGCCGCGCGCCGTCTTCCTCGCCGTCCCCCGCGCTCCTACCCCGTGCCACCCGCTTTAGGGTTTGGGGGTGGGGAGTGTGGGGGGGACGTTTGTGGGGGTGCCGATTGTGTGCGCCGTCCCCTGCTCCTCCTCCTCCTCTGTCTCCCGCTGCTGCAGCTGCCGCTCAGGGGGGTGGGTGTGTGGGAGCCGAAGGAGTGGTGCTAGGGGGGTGACGTGGGAGTGGAGTTAGGGGTTCAGCAGGGGGTGTGTGTCAAGGGTGTGGTTCAGTTGGAGGAGGTTGTGTGGAGGTAGCTGTCGTGTCGCCTGCAGCGCCTGTAGTCCGTCGCCCTTGCTTCGGTAGCCAGTGAGCCTGTTGCACCAGTCGCCAGTGGGTCCGTTGCTCCTGCCGCTCGTCTTAGCCGCGGAGCCAGTCAGTCCAGTAGTCCGTTGCCCTTGCTTCGGTAGCCACTGAGTCAGCCGCTCCTGTGCCCGTGCCTCTGCAGCTTCAGTCGTTGCCTCCCATCTTCTCTCCGTCCACAGTACTCTCCTCCTCCTCACTTGCCCTCTGTGATAGCCTCTAGCTTTGCTTGCCATTGTGAACCTGCTCTATGACTGTGTGCTCTGCTGATTACACCCCACTTTGGCTATGGGGGTGTGTCAGAATGTTATTATCTAGCCTGTAGTGAGATGCTCTATAGCGAATACAACCCTGTTAGGGTTTGCTATATGTATCCCAACTGCTGCTAGTGAAACCCCTCCTTTCTTAATTTCTCTCTTGCCTAGCTAGCTAAACCCTAGCTATGGCTCCTCACTCTGCTTACTATCAATCTCTACCTAGCAAGAGCAAGTATATATATAAACATATATATATATACATATATGTATATATATATATCACAGTACAAGCAGAGACTACAGCAAGTGAGGAAAAGTGGGCACAAGGCCTAACAAAGTGCAGAAACGCTGATGATCACCAGACGGAAGTGCCTTGGTGAATATATCAGCAGTCTTGGCCCGAGTGGCCACGTGAGCAAGACGAAGCTGACCTCGCTGCTGCAACTCTCGAGCCAGGAAGTAACGCAGAGCGATGTGCTTCGTTATGTGCTCCAGTCTGTGCTCCTAACACAAGGCAATGGCGGCCTTGTTGTCTACGTACAGCACTGGAGGAGAACGAGGCCGCTCTCCCAGGTCGGTCAGCAGGTAGGTGAGCCAGCGTAGCTCCTGTGCAGCCATGGCTGTGGCGTAAATCTCAGCCTCACAACTGGAGCCGCGAACAGAAGACGAGCGTGTAGACTGCCAAGAAACAGAGCCAGAGCCAAGGCTGAACGTGTAACCCTGTGACGACCACTGCGTAGCCAGATCGTCAACCCAAGAAGCGTCCGAGTGCCCAATGAGGACCACCTCACTCCGCCCTCCAAGCACGAGCCCCATGCCCGATGTACTGCACAAGTAGCGCAGTACCCTCTTAGCAGCAGCCATGTGCTCTGGTCGGTGCCTACCAGGAGCCACGTAGCGAGCCAGAAGGCCAAGAGGTTACGCAAGGTCAGGACGAGTGCAGGTCATCAGGTACATGAGGCAGCCCACTAGCTCTGGATAAGAACCACTCAGCTCTACGGACTCGTCCGAAGGTGGAGCTGAGAGCGAGTGACCTGTAGCCAGAGGAGTGTGCTGTGGCGAGGACCAGGTGAAGCGGAAGCGCTGAAGGACCTGCTGCACCATGTGTGACTGAGTCAGTGTGATGGTGCGGCGTGCTCTGTCCCGGGTGATCTGCAAGCCAAGGTAACTGCGCAGCTCACCCAGGTCTGTGCACGTGTGTCTCTTCTGCAGCTCCGACTTCACCAGGGCGAGAGCCTCAGTGTCCGCAGTGGCAAAGACCAAGTCGTCGACGTACACGAGGATGTAGAACGGCGGCAGCGAAGTGTCGGTGCGCAGAAACAGCGACGGGTCAGCAGTAGAAGGCGCGAACCCAAGAGCCGCAAGTGTCGTCCTCAGTGTGTCGTGCCACTCACGTGGCGCCTGACGGAGACCGTAGACTGGCCGCCGGAGGCTCGACTGGGTACCAGGAGGGAACGACCCAGTGAAGCCAGGTGGGCGGCGCAGCCTGATCTCCTCGTGCAGGCTGCCCTGTAAGAAAGCTGTGCTGAAGTCAAGAGAGTGAAGCTCGTAGTCACGCTGAGCGGCAACGTGCAGTAGCACCCGAAGAGTGGTCATCTTCGGGGTGGGGGAGAAGGTCTGGAAGAAGTCTACTCCCTCTCGCTGACTGAAGCCTCGAGCAATGTAACGAGCCTTGAAGACAGACGGAGAACCTGGCGGTCGCTTCACCCTGAAAATCCACATGCCACTGACGATGTTCGCCCCAGGAGGGGGAACCTCGTCGACGTAGGTGCCTGTGGACTTCCAGGATGCCATCTCTGCGTCCATGGCTGTCTGCCACTGAGAGGAGTACTCACCCGCGATCGCCTCAGCGTAAGAGCGCGGGGTCGGGATGTCTGGTGCATCCGGGTCTCCCTCAGGGGCAAGCAGCATGGCCACGAGATGAGGCGCAGCGGCCGCAAGACACTCAAGGTCCTCCTGTGTGTCCTTAAGGACTTCCGTGCCAAGAGAACACTCACCCCCGACGGACGGAGGACAGACAGACTCAGACTGAGCAATAAGACTAGCAGCGTAGTCTAGACGACAGGCAGCAGCAAAGTCAACCAGCTCAGCGACAAAGGCAGACGCAGCAGCAGACTCAAACGACGGGTCAGTGACAACAGTGGCTAGCAGACGCGTGACAGTAGGGAGCTCAGCACGAAACCGGTCAAACTCAGGGTCCGCAACGACAGGCAGAGAAGACGCAGGAGGAGACGGCAGAGGAACACGCTGCGGAGGAGAGGAAGGACGTCGGACGACGAGGTGGGTGCCGGGGACAGCCGGCTGACGTGGACGAGGAACACGATGACCGGAACTACCAGAACGGTCAGGCGAGACAGGACGGGACGCAGGCTCACGACGCTCAGTAAGACCCCCTGTCTGCTCAGTGTAAGGAGAAGGAGCAGGCAGCGGTGAGACAGGCTGTAACGGAAGACCAGTAGACGAAGGGAGACTAAGAACCTAGCAAAGCACAGAGTCAGGCGGTGGCTGAGACGACGGAGACGGTGGAGCGAAGAATAGGCGCGGCTGTGTAGTGCCACCAGCACCAAGAACCTGCTGAAGTAGGGGAACGAAGTACGGTCGCGGCCGCACAGCGCCGCCAGGGTCAACAGCTCCAGCTCCTCCAGCTCCAGCGCCTCCCGCGCCAG